TAATTTTAATTGAAAGAAACAAATTAGCCGTATAGATTGATAAAAAAGAAAAAAAAAGATTGCAAATTTCTAGAAAAAATTTTTTATATCTTAGATGAAATACTTCGTAAGGAACATATTCTAGTTCGGAATAATCAAGAGGATATAACTAATTGTCGTCGCATACAAACTTGTCGAAGTCAAAATTTATCACAGTTGACGCTTTTTCTTTTTTATCAATCTATACGGCTAATTTGTTTCTTTCAATTAAAATTACATGAGGAAAACATTTATTGTATAGACTAGTGATCAATAGTGTTTCATTCTTGATAAATAAGAAGACGTGATTTATACAAACTAAACGTCATAATTAAGAAAACAAAAAGGAAAAAGATAAATACTATAATCAATATTTAATCATAATGACCATAATTATTTGAGAGTTGTTGACGATCTGACGAAAGAATCTTTTCAGGTATCAAATCGCTTTTGTGACCGAGTTTTGAAAAGTATTCTGTACTGAATGATGTGATTGAAAATTCCACAGCATTAAAAGTAGTATACTGATTTTATAAAACAAAAATCATTATTCCATATATGTTTTCATAGTACAAAATGAATTGCTAATCGAGGTTGTTTTATTGATTTGTTTTTCATCACTAACAAATTTGATATGTACAATCTATCTGAAGCATTAGGAATATATTGATTTTAACTATTTTGCTCACATGTTGATGCTTGATCAGTTGATCTTTATTTTTCTAATTTTGTTTCAAATAAACAAAGATGCCTATTAAATTCTTTTACTATTGCAAAAATGTACGCTATGGTTGCTAATACACATGTGATAAGATAGATGGAAACCGGATACTTGCGTGCTAGAAAGAATCTTTGTTGAAGAAATTTTTGAAAAAAACTCAACGAACTCTAATCTAATATTTAATTATTCTACAAAATTATATAAAAGAAAAGTCAATAAGAAGCAGCAAAATTGAACAATAATAGACAAATAAAAGTAAAAAGAAAATTTATAGAGACAATAAATGTCCGATATACGTTAACTGATAAATTTGATTTTCTTATGTTTTTGAATTACATACTATTTAAGATATTAAGTTAAACCAATGCACAAATATGATTGCATTCATCGTGACAACTATTTTATTTCTAGTGTCAAATAGATGTGTTCATTATTTTCTAGAAGATTATATTTCTTATCTGCATATGACATTATCAGGAATTTCTAAATCTTCTATTCATTGTTCTTCAAACAACATTATGTATATTTGTAGAATTTATTGCATATATGTATATCGAATGATGTTATACTTCATTACATATTAGATCTGTTGTGATTGATTGCTATTGAAGATTGGTAATAAAAAAGAAGTTATAACATTATGTTAATATGATAATAACTTTTGAAGCTTTATTTCTTTTCTCCAAATAAATTTCAGTCCATATTTGAACAAAAAAGTGAGAAAAAACAAAACCTCAAAAAACAAGAAATTCAACCTATCTTATCGGATATTAATTGCCGTAAAGTTGAGTTTTTTATTTGTACTTTTATAACCTTACACTGTTATTTAAATCACTACTACTATCGTCAATGTCAATCGACGATAGAATTCGTGTGAAAATAAGATATATGACAACGAATTGGATTGCAATTTTTTTTTTAAATAAATTAAAGCCTAAAGCTACTCTTTCATTTTCTATAATAGACTATTCAATTTTTTTTCTATTTTAGTTGAAATCTTTGTGCAGGATTAAAATCCAGATATTTATTAATGCTTAGAATAGAAAATTTTAAATAAATAAATTCATTAGCACTTAAGGGCACTCTTCATTCTGCCATCTTTTTTAGCCAAAAATTCAATTTTGAGCTGGAAATGACGAATGATAGCTTCAAGTATCATGTGTAATTAGAGACACCATTAGATTATAAGCAGCTTACTGTTACAGTGTTACTGAGTTTAAGAATTTTCTTATTCGCAGTAATCATATTGAGATTCTTTTCTTTTGTTTAGAATAACGCAAAACACTAATTTTCTCATTTTTAGCTGTTTACAATCTTCTTCTAACTTTGTCCGGTCGAACTGAAATTTTTACCACAGATACTTGAAAGTATTCTCCATAGGTAAAATCGATCATTTTCTTTTTTGATTTTCTTATCTCGATTAATAGGGTTCTGAAAGTCAATACTCCAGTTTCGGCTCTCCGAACCTTTATGTATTTATCCCATAAATAAAAAGAAAAGTAGATTTTTCCAAAAAAACAAAAAAACACTCAAAAATACTTGAGATATAGTCTGAAGTATTTCGAAAATAACAATTTCATGCGAATCGTATAAGATCTGACGGAAGTTGTCATGTATCAGAATGTGGTCTTATGAAAAACAAAGATTTTCTTGAACATGTGTCTCATTATTCCAGATACTCTATCTATAATAAAAAAAAAAATCAATCTGATTCTTTGTATCCTCTTTGAAAATCAGCAATAGTCAAAAAAGAGAAAGATACCCTTAAGTCATAAATTATTGATAGGACTTTTACTTCACTTCCTATTATTGACTCATAACAATTAGCATAAAAAAATATATTATCATGTATGTCAATTGAAAAAAGAATATTCAGTAACATATAACTATTACTTTGAATCCAGAATTGTTGCATTTAATGTTTGAAAAACGAATGATAGATGTTTATTGATTGAAAATCTAAATATTTATCTTTGGAAATAAATCTTAAATCGAACAAAAGATTTTATTTAATGAACTTGGTACAAGTCACTATAATCTTATTTCATCTTTGTCGAATATTTATTGATAATATTATATTTTTTTGTTGTTGTACGACATAGGAAGAAGTCTAATGATGAATATCATAGATAAAAAATTAATATTTATATTAGTTTGTCTCTTTTATTAATATTTTTAAATATGAGATTAATTAAATAGTAATCTTTGATTGATTTTCTTACTATTCAATATGATCAAATATATTTTATTAATCTAAAAAAGTTTAAATATTATATTTGTTATTTAATATTTTGCTGATATTTGAAAAATATATTTCCATATTTTTTAAAACTATACGCAAATAACTCATAAATCTTTGAATAGTATTCTTCAGTTTACTAATTGACCAGAAAGTGAAGAACAATTTATGAGTCCTTTAGGGTATTATGTCTTATCAATAGAAGATCTTGATATGATCTTTGGTAATAACGTAAGCTTTGACTATTTTTCTGAATAGATATTGTGTGTAAAGAATAGTAGATTATATATTTACTGTTTTTTTTATCTGATATGATTAATTTGATATATGTAATTATTAGTTTTTATTGCATAATATTTAATTACATCAAAAGATTAAAACTTCAGAAAAGAAAATTTGATTGTTCAAGAAATATAAATTAAATTTTAGTTTCTTAAATAAATACATATCAAATCTTGACTGAGCAAAAACAAAAAAAAACATTTATGTGTTTGATTTAATCTTGTCATACTGTGGAATAGAAAATAATTCTGTTTTCCTTTTGTTATTTGCATAGACCTTGAATTATTTGTAAATAAATAAAAATCCGGAACTCATTTCACTTGATTACTTATTCCTTTAGTCAAAACTCATTAATCAAAAAAGTATTTTTAAATAGACAAAACTATGGACTCGAATAATTACTTTCAAGTGTTAATAAGTTATTAATTCAATCCATTAAATCTATAATCATTGGTATAGTTAAGTGATAAAATCCATTAGTCAAATAAATGAACGTGTAAAAAATTGAATATTTTGTTTGAATATGTGCGTGTTATATAGAATATCTTAATACTCTTATAATTATCGATGTTCGCTCATATCTTTTATTATTATACAAAAAAAAATAAAATATTTTTCGATTAGAAGATTTTTCTTTTGTTTCTATTTTTAAAGTAAGGAAAATAACAAGACTAAATGTTATTTTTGTCTGATCAACAAGAAAATGCTACGTCAATATTGATTTTCTAACTTGACAGTCTAAAGAAGAACAATTTATTTTCTTCTCATTTGTAAAGAGAAAATTATCTGTCATAATGACGATGTATGTTGTATAAAAATAGAGACAAGTAGGAAGTAATTGATAATTGTCCTTTTAGTCAAATTAGAAGCTACCCACATCATGTTGATAAATATAAATCTACATATTCATCTATCTCAATACCTGTACATCACGCCATATTGTTGTTATTTGATTGGAATTATGTGTTTTTGTCCTTTCTTATTATTTATCTATCTCTATTCCTTCACTTCATCGATCTTTTCCGCTTATGCTTGAATGAAGTCTAAGATAGATAAGAAATGTTCATTCTTTAATACGACAATGGTGCCATGGAATGTTTCTTGTTTCGATAAAGACCGAGTTCCATTGATCGTTACGTTCGGATTCTATCTATCTTCGTTTCTTTTTTTTTGTTATTTATATTCTTTCTTTCAATCCTCTTTGCCTTCCTATGTCTTGTTCTTTTCTTTCTCTTTTTTTTATTGTTATCTAAATTAATACCTCGGCTGCTCGCACCATATACATTTTTTTTGCTGTTGATGTCGTTGCTTCTTCTTATTCGTCGTTGTTCCTTGGTTGTTTTTACTTAGAATTTAGTACATACGTCTTTTTTTTCATTTGAAGAAAAGAACGAAGAAAGAAAAAAAAATTCGTACTGACAATCTTGTTACAGATTTCGTTTCACTTTTATACAATTATTGTCATAAACATTATTTGAAATCCTTCCTTTTTTTTTTATTATATAGCTCTTCAAGGTTACCTGTTTTATGGGTTTATATATAAATAACACTCAGCTAATTTATTTGTCTATATTTAGAAATGCAAAATAGCCTTCGGAAATCATTTCGTTATCGTCTTCGGAAGAAACCTCATACTGATGATCATGTTTATCCACGCATTGATGCAAATGATTGTTCAAATTCGAAATTAAATTTAGTTAAACCAGTGAAATCAAAAAGTTTTCTACAAAGACGACGACGACGACATCGCTCATCATCATCATCACCACTGTCTCCATTATCATCATCAGAACAAGCGAAATCAAAAGTATTTGAACCTCGTTATGATATTCATTATAATTCTGATGATGATCCATTTCCATCATCAATAAATCCTCATTCACGTCCATTTGATCGTTTAACTTATCAAATACGTAAATCATTTCGAAATACATTAAGACGACAACGTCCAAGATTTGGAAGTACAAATTCAAATAATCATTTAATATTAAACAAAAATGATGAAAATCAAATATTAAATCCAATACTTTATCCAAAATTATCTACAGGTCTTACATCACCTTTGACAATAACAAATGATAATGATAAAAAACAATTTCAAAAAAAACAACGAAAAGCACCATTAGCACCTACACATATGAATCAATCGTATGAAAAATTTTCTTTTTCTTTTATTTTCATAGAAAAAAAATATATTCTTTTTTTTTTTTTTTCTCTATTAAGAATATCTTTACCAATTGAAATCAATGTTAAAAATCAACAAACCGGTTCTATATCATCTAATGATCGACAATTAGATAATAATGCACAAAATTTAAAAAAGACTAATTTTAATCAATTATTTCGGATTAATTTTTCATTTTTACAGAAAAAACATCAAGAAAATCAACAACATGAAAATCCTAATGAAAAATTGACATTCCGTCAACGATTTGATTCACTAAGACGTTCATTTCATATTGTCAATCGAAATGTATCCAAAAAACATAATAATCACTTGCTTTCAAATGAATAAATAATTCATTTATCGGAACCAAAATCAGATTTACTATACAAAAAGAAATAAAACAAGAACAATTTGTCGTATGCAACGTGCATATAACACATACACATATTTTTACATGTACTTTTTTCCTATTTTCTATAATCAGAATAACGTTTCTTTCTCTTTCTATATTCGATATATAATTATGTATTCATGTTCTTAAAATTGAAATTTTTTGAAAGAAAATTTACTTATATCTGTAGTTTTTGATCTTCAATACAAAAACAATTTTTAGTTATGTTTTTGTACGAATAACAACATTCCGTATCGTCTTATGTTCTCTATTACATCTACCTAGATCATATGACAATAATAAAAAAAAACCCATTGAAATGAGTATTTGCTTAAAGTCGAATGTGTAAAAAACTTTAGATAAGCAATAATTTTTGTGGAATTGTTATCTGTATATATATTCTTGTCATCAGATAAAGTTCGAACATAAAATTACAAATAATTGTTTACAAGGTTTTAATTAGTTATTAAAATAACTTTTACAATCTTTAGTTTTTAACAAATATTGTTAATTAAATTGATTATTTTAAACATAATCAATTTCATTTTGTTACATTATATCATCATAATTGAACATTACTATTTATCTATTATATGATGAAAAGTTCAAGGTTAAATATAAAGAAAAAGTCAAGGTTTCTATCATATTTCTCTTGACAATACCAAAATGAATCATAATCGACGAACTATAATTTCGATCGTTTTTTTTTTTATTCATACAAAGAAACAAGAATATTATTAATAAATGAAATATTCTATTCATAGGAAAAAGATCCTTTCATCGATTAAAAGAAAATATTTTCTAGTTCGTTTAGAATATCAGTACTTAACAAATATTCTAAAGCAGAATTATTGATAACCTAATTGCTCAATTGTCTAGTTTTAAATTGAAATTATATATATTTACATTTTTATTCTAATAAAACAATTCGAAGAATTTCTATAGACAAGTAACTCGAGAACGATACTTTTAATTAATAATAAAGACTTTTAATACAATTCGTCTAGAATTTTAAATGTGAAATACATTGTAACTTTTGTTACAAATCCCATAATGTGTTTGAAAAATTAATTCTAGTCAATATTGAATACACTCGTGTTATTTCGTTCGATTCATTAAATATAATCATATTAATATTTCCTTTAAGATTTTTAATTTACTTATAAATTTTTGGGTTTTTTCTTTTAATAATTTGTAAAAGGTACATAGTATATATCATTGTTGAAGAAAGACTTGTCATTATCTCTAATTAGTTGTTGCTAAGGTATGTACGTGAGATAAAAATCTCATCCTAAATTTCAGCATAACTTTTAATTCATGTTTAATAAAAGAGTTCGATACATTTACTAATTGAGTTTATTGTATCAAATTAAACGTCGTTAATTTATTTATTTAGAGTAAAACCTGTCTCAATGAATACTTTTTTTGTTGTTGTTCAGTGCCGACTGTATATATTACCTTGCCAATGCAAACATTATGATTGAAGTTGCAAAGCTGATCATCAGAAACTGAATTATCTTCATGATTTTAATTTAATAAGAGAAAAAGAATGGACAAATAGATATCATTATCCTTTTGCGCAGCTTCATAACCTGTGTCTATCTCACAATGCACTTGATTTCGAGCAAACAAAATGAATTTAATCAAAGATAAAGAATTTAGTTTATCTTATCATGAATTAAGAGATAAATTTGAAACATTCATCAGTGTTGTATCAAATATTTTTAAAAGAAAAAAAAAATGAATATAAACTAATCTGAACAAAAAAGTGAATCATCGTTTCAGTCAATCCATCAATGATACTGGTTAAAACGTGAAAACGATTTAATAAAATAATAAAAAGTTCTTAAAAGGAGGCGGAATGTGATCAAACTGATATTTTTATTTGCTTTTTGTCCTGTACAAAAATCCTGTTATACTGAACGATTTTCGTTAGTCCCGATGGTGTTCACAATATAGACATTTTATTGTAATACAATGAAAGATCAAAATTAAAAGTAGATGAAAATCTATACAAAAGAGTTGGACAAGTACTGTTCTTCTAGAGTACGAATACGTACTCATAGTTACATACGTCGACTTTACAAAGAAAATTTCAATTTTCATATGATTGTTTGTCTACTGAAAAACATCTTTTTTTGTCTAAGATACGAATAATTAAACCATCAAGTATACGAGACACTCAATAAAAAGAAAATTTTTCTTTTCTTTTTACGCATTCAATGCATTAATCTTTCAAACCTCCAAACCCAAAATTTTAGCGTCCAATGCCTTCTCTTGCCAAAGTTAGTCAATACTGGCTTTTTACCATTATCATATCCTTATCGAAAGAAATACTCTATAAAAATTGCAACTGTTTTCGTTTCAACGAATCATTCAAATTTTTTATAATTCATACTAACAAATAGAGAATTAAAAACTAAACAAAATTTAGCTGTTTCAATATAATAGAGTATTGATAGACTCAAGTTTTATAAAGCGACACATGAATGAGAAATGATTCTTTCGATGAATCTCAAATGTCCATTTAATAACAATCTATAGCCATAGAGATTCAGAGAGTTTCAAACTAAGTCTCATATATATATATATTATGAAACTTTTTATTCTCTACAAAATAGAAAAAAATAATTCAAAAATAAGTGATATCTTCAGTAGAATATGGATTCATATCTTTCTCTTACATAATGATTTTTCAATCGAAAAAGAGTATTTTTTATCGGTTTTTATTGTCATGACATAATTGTAAAGCAAAATAAATACAACAGTCGAAACCAGTGTCAAAACCTATATTGAATCAAACACACACCTCAGAGAAACTTTTCTTCTAGAAAAAAAAAAGTCATCTATGATCTCCCACGGTGGTATTTAATAAAAAATTTACCTTGTAGGGTTGTCCAAGGGTCGATATTCTGCAAGAAAAATATTTCTCGTGAATGTGTTTGATTCAATGTAGTTTATACTACTGATTTCAAATGTTGTATTTATTTTGCTTTACAATCGTGTCATAACAATGAAAATCGATAAAAATGTTTTCGATTGAAAAATCATTATGTAACCATTCCGTTTCGTTTGGAAGATACTACTTATTTGAAATATTTCTTCTTCATTTTGTAGGGAATAAAAAGTTGTATAACATATATATGATTCATCTGGAAACTCTTTGATTCTAAGTCCCAACATGAGACAGATTATTGGTCTAATGGATATTTTTGACTGATCAAAACAACCATTTTTTATTCATATTTGCCTTATAAAACTTCAGTCTATCAAAACTATGTTATATTGAAATAGTTCATTTTGTTCAATTTTTAATTTTCTATCTCTCAGTAGGAATTAGAGAAAATATGAATGATACATTGAAATGAAAATAATCGCAACTTTTCAAGAGTATTTTTTTATGCTTTTTTTTCCATAAGGATTCGATAATGGTAAAAAAGTCTGTATTCACTAAATTTTAAAAGAGAAGACATTGGAGACTAAAATTTTGGGTTTGGAGATTTCAACGATTGATCCATTGAATGCACAAAAAGAAAAAAAGATTTTTTTTTTATCGAATGCCTCCTATACTCAATGCTCTCATAATTACTTTCTTAATTTTCTAAGAATGTTAAAAATAATTATCTATTATAAAACATATAAAACTCAAAAACAAACTAAGTAGAGTTTTTTCTATCCGATTTTTATGTATAAGATGTCATCTTCGATATTCTGAAAGAACATCGATAGTTTTCGCAGACATATTATTACACAAGAAAATAATAGAATTTTCGTCATATAAGTAAACATATAATAGAATGTGATAGAATAATGTTCGGATATACATATATATCAATTGAATTTTACTCGTATAGGTCTATTCAATATTGTTATCATAAGAGAGAGATGTCAGTCATATATTCGTTGAACAAAATCCAATTGAATTGTATGTTGTTTCAATTGATTTCTATCTAATTGAGATGTTAAATATGTATCGTATGTCCAGCTGGTCGATTCAATGTTCCACCCAAATCGTCTTGAATAAATTAAATATGAGAGATTGAACATATGTATTGATTGGAAATCGAAATGATTCACTTATCAATAGACAATCATTTAATTATGATGATTATATCAATGTCTGGAAGACTTAATCATCTATATCCATTTACAGTTCAGATGATTATCAAATATACTTGCAAGATGTTACACAATTTATTCATTTTTTCAGACTTCCTTATATCTCGTTTTCTTATGTTCACATCGAGTAAATTCATTTTTTGTCCGTTGATAGAGGTGTAAAAAATAAAAGATAAGGAAAACTAACTGAGTTCATCATCGTTACTTCTTTTTCTTTTTCTGTTTGATTAATGCTTGATGGAAACGAGAAGAAAAAAAAGATCTTATTGACTACGGAAGACAAACAGTTCACATCAATGAATAGAATGACCGGCGCCGAATACGTATTACAAATAAAAGTGTGTTGTCGTCTTATCTCTATCACATTAACACCGGGATTATATTGTTAGACAACCATCACTTGTACATTCATAATGACACAAGATATAGTGTGCAAATGAAGATATATTGACACACATGTCATTTTTATTGAGGCATCAAAAAAAGAAAATATAACGTACAGGTAAATAGTTAGTATGTTGTATTGTTTGATTGATTGACAAAATGAACTTATAGTTCATATGTACAATCTATCTATTACTTGCTTGTTGATTTGAGCAAGTATTGTTATTAACTTGTTCAATAGTAACTTCTTTTTTTTTCTCCTTGGTGAGGTTCATAGAACAATGAAGATAACCAACAGAATGTTTATTCCAATTATATCATGATAAAAGGAGGTATAGACAAAGAAACCTTTTCAATTTAATAAATATATATGTAATCATAGGGTATGATTTTCTTATGATTATTACATTTGTCTATCTCTATATCTGTTCTATCTGATCTGAACGAGAGAGAAAGAGAGAATATCGTCGTGATAAATACATCATTCAAAATAAGCATGTTTGAAACACACAGTTGAAGGTCTCGTTTTTTTTTTTTTTGTTGGATGAGAATTATTCTATGTGTATTTATATCTGACCTGTTTTAATTGTTCAAATAATGATAAATAAAACATCGGTAAGTAGACAGATTGGTCACATCAGTTTAGAGTGAACAGTCACCGACATATGGCCTTCAATTTCAATCATCATCATCATCATTTTCTTTCTTTACTATAGTCAATGTAAATCATATACTTGATTAATTCGAGAGTCATATAGAAGCAACGAAAGAAATCGACCCGATTGTTTATCCGACCTACAACAAAATATATATACTATATGTATGTATACCGATTATTATCTTGCATTAAAAATAAACAATATTTTTGTTGAACATTAAAAAAAAAACAGATGCCCTTATTTTCTTTTCCTCCGGTCACAATAGAATAAAGACAAGGCCAAACATCCCGTTGGGTAGAATTTGTTTAAATAATATATTTCTTATAGCATACATTACTTTTTTGTTTTTGAGTGTTTCTGTTGTTTAATTATCGAAACGAATACTTTTGTTGATATAAATAAAAATGTTCGATTAAAAATAAGAAGGAGATTTACGTAAGCAATGAACTATTTCTAGATTTAGTTAATCAATTATCGGACACAAAAATATCCAATCAGTTTTCTTCTGTATGTCTCGTGTGCAATAGACCTTCTCTCAAAAGAAATTACATATATTGTTTCGCATCATTGACAATATAATCTTTTTATTTGTTTCCAATCAATATAAACTCATTGATTTTCATCTTACGATTAATTATTTTGTATGTAAGTAAACCAAAACTTTATTATTAATGTTATTCTCTCCTCGATTGATAAAAGTTCAAAAATCTGTTGCAATGAGTTGTATCAGCTGCAGTATTGATGACATAGAAAATCAGTCAATGATCATCAATTTCTTCAATTAGCGGCATAACTTCAAAAGAGACTAATAGACAGAAAAAGATATGTACAACAACAAAAAACAAAAAAAAATAAATCAACAGACATGTTCAAGCTGTTCCTTACATATGAGATGATCAACAGACATAGAAAAAAGAACATCACGAGTTAATTCAATTGAGCTAGTTTTTAGAGTTGTGTCCCTATTTCGTGAGTTCTGCACACATTATACATATATACTGACATCTTTGAACTGTCGAGCTCTATCCGTGGGGTATTAGTAAAATACGTTCTGCATAGAGCTTGAAATTCTCTATGTAGTGGAACCCGTTCGGAGCAATTTTAAAAAATATTTCATCAAAATGTGTTAACTTGTTAGAGGGATTTACTTTAAGGCGAAAACTCAAAAAAAAAAAAAATATAAGTGTTTGAAAAGCTAAGTTAAATGTGGCTCTGATACCATATTTTTACTGACTAGAGTTATTAAGCATTCATTACTACTTCATATAATATCACTTTTCCAAACATTTAGATTTGAGTTCTGAATGGACTATTTTTAAAAGGTATTGCATTTTATCTTCTAAAATTTTTTTTTTCGAAAATGATGCAGAGTAGAACTTAGTATAACTAAGAATTTCAAACTCTATCGACAAGCATAAGTTCCTATGAAGACGACTCGCCTAGTGGGTCAAAGCGTATTTTATTCATACTTCTATCCCGTGAGTGAAGTCATACTTTTGATAATTCGAAATCAATGGAATTGAATTACTGCTGAATTATGATGATGATGAAATTTATCATATTCTAGAATATATTAATAATGTTATAATCATGCGATTATGTCTTATTTTTTGGCTATGGTTAATAATTAATATTTGTAAAATCAAAAGTCAATATATTCGTTTATCAACAGTTAATTGTAGTGAATTATCAGCAATAGGTACATCAATAATACAATTATTAGATATATTACCATCATCAAATTGGGAATTTTCATTTTTAACTCAAACATTAATTAAATCTTATTTTTTATTAGATGATCTTAAAGGTACAATTATAGTTAAAAATCTTCTTGATCGTGAAAATCTTTGTCGTTTAAATTTATGTTCATGTTTAAATCAATGTTTAATTAAACTTGAAATAAATGCTATAAGTGATATATATTCATATATATTATCATTACCAATATTAATTTATGATGAAAATGATAATTATTGTTATTTTTTAAATGATATTTATTATATAAATATTACTGAAAATATACAATTAAATACTCGTATTATATTACCAATAGCATATGATCCTGATTTACCACCAAATAATATTCAATCATATTATTTATTAGAAAATAATAATAAAGAATTTTATTTTGATAATCAATTACCACCATCAATTATTATTATTGAACAATTAGATCGTGAATTAAAAGAAAAATATTATTTTGATTATTGTGCATATGAAGGTATTTATGAAAAACAACGTTCATGTTGTATGAAAATTATTTTAATAATAACAGATATTAATGATAATTCAGCAAAATTTCAATATGATCAACAATTACCATTAATATTAAATCTATCAGAATTAACACCAATTAATACAGAACTTATTCAAATGAAAGCATTTGATCCAGATTATGGTCATAATGGACAAATTATTTATACATTTTCAAAATGGACATTAAATGATAAAACAATTAATCAATTATTTTATTTAAATTCTCATAATGGATCAATTATACTTTTAAAACAATTAGATTATGAACAACGAAATAATTATGAATTACAAATACAAGCTATTGATCTTGGTCTTAATGCTATTCCAACATATACAACAGTTATTATACAGGTAAAATTTTAACAATAAAAATAATTGATCTCAGTTTTGTTTACTGGTAATGGAGAGTCACATTTTCGATATTATATATATGTATATAAAGCGTTGCTTAGAATTGGTGTCCGCAGTTTTAACAAATATTCGAAATAATTTTTCTTTAAATCAAAAAATATAATAATCAATAAATTGTAAACAAAAGTAAAAGAAAATATTCGTTAAATAAACATCTATTTTTAATACAAATAATCATTAAAAGAAATTATTTTAATGATATCTATATATAATAATGTTTTATAGCTAAATTCGAAGTAGAAGACCTTTTATTGTTTTCAAATAAAATAAAATTGTTATTAGTTTTTTTTATAGATATATTGATTGTGATGTTTTATTATAAGTTCAAATTAGTTGAAATCTCCGTTATTTGATTAGTTTGATTTAAACACAATGATGATGATGATGACTATATTTATATTAAAATAAGACAAGCTCGAGATATTCGAATAAATAAATAAAACATAAATGTTTTTTAGTTTACCATTAAATCTTAATTTATACTTTTTGAGATGAATTCTACCTTAGGCTTAGCTTTTGTCCTGATTTTTAATTTAGTAATTGGCAGTGGCGGGCCCAGAATTTTTGAGTATGCTGGATCTCACGAGGGAACATCGCCAACTGTCCAATCGCTTTTTTAATGAAAGTTACAGGTTATCGACTATGATGGTTCCGAATATGGGCATGAGAAATCCCCTTAGGCTGGTTTTCCACACGAACAAACTTTTTGTAAAATGTTTTTTTCATCTGCCCATATTATAGAGCATATCGAATTGTCTATAAATCAACAGTTTTTCCTGTTTTGGAAAAATGAGCTCTAAAAAAATAATATAAACTTTTATATTTGCATATTGAAATGTTATGGTTTGTATCTATTGTACAAATTCAAATAGCTGTAGTTTTTCCAAAAATCGATTTAAAACAAAAACAGTTATTGTTTTATAGGTAATTCGATATGCTCTATAATATGGACAGATCAAAAAGCAAATTTAGTGAAAAGTTTGTTACTCTGGAA